TGTTCTTCTTCCCCTTCAGGGATCCTATAACTCATATGTTTGAACACTTCATGAAGTCCCATAATTTTGTGAGTGAATGTTCTGCTTTCTCTCTTCTGCCTCTTCAACTGCTTGGGTTAACTCATGAACTTTTCCCTCTAGCTCTGAGATTCTTTTTTCTTCATGGACTAATCTGTATTTATATTTTCTACTATATCTTTACATTCCTTAACTGACTCCTTCATTTCCTTAAGCTCTGCCATATTCTCTATATTCATCTCTTTCATCCATTTTTTTGGTTCTGTTTTTTTGCTTCCTCATCCATTCCGTTTATTGTCTTTATTATCCATATTTTAAATTTCCTTTATGTCATTTCCATCATTCTTTTATAAGTAGAGTCCTCTGCAGTAGCTGCCTCATGGTCCCTTAGGGAGTTGCTCTGTTTTGGCTTTCCGTTTTGCTAGAATTTTTCTTGTTGGTTCCTCCTTATGTGTATTTTCTTCCTGTTCACTTTCTTCCCCTATTTTTTCCTTTTTACTATCTCTTTAGCTTTGAATTACCTGGTCTCAGAGCTTAGGTGTTGAAGTAGCTTCTTGACATAAGGCCAAAAAGAAGAGGAAGGTAAAGAGAAAATAGGGAGAAAGAAGAGAAAAAGAAAGAAAGACAAAAATAAAAACACAAAAAAGGGGACAAAGAAAAGAATTGGAGAAAAGGAGAGAAGAAAGACAGAAAGAGAGTGACAGGAGAGATTGTATTGTTCTGCAAGGTGCTATGGCTACACCTACAACTCCAGGACTTTGGGTGGGGGGCTGGGCAGGTCCCTTGATGCCAGGAGCTGCTTACCAGCCTGTGCAAAAGCAAGACCCCCACCTCTGCCAAACAGAAAGAAAAAGAAAATAAAAAAACAAGGAAAATTCAGCAGAATGTCACAGAGGGGACCTGCCCATACTATCTTTCCAAAGGCCAACGCTAGAAGGACATCCTAGACCATGAGCTTAAGAACTCCTTTAGTTGGACCTTTGCCATGACCCCTCAGCCAGACCACTGCCATGACCCCCAGAACTCAAAGAAAAGTTAAAAAAGATAAAAATAGATAAAGAAAATTAAAAACACAATTATATAAGCTAAAGAATGAAAAGGGATGTCTTAGCTATTGTATAATAAAGTTACATGGGAAAGATGAAAAAAGTAGAAGAGTCTCTACAAAAAGGGAGAAAAAATGAGAGAAATAAAAAAGAGAGAGCAACAGGGGATGAAAAACTGTAACAAAAATGAGGAAGCCTTTGCTATTGAAGAAAGTAAAAATGAAAAAAAAACACAACCAACTAAACAAAAAAAGAAAGATAAAATCCCCCCAAACAGTAACAACCACAACAATAAAAAAGTGAAGAGGGGAAAAAAACCCATATATACGTATGGGATGGTATAAATATATACCATGCATTTATTTATGTGTAAATATATATACATAAATATATACCAAAATATATTTATATGATGTATATATTTATGTATAAACATATATTGCAATATATTTCCTGGACATCAGGTAGTGCTTTGGTGTTAGGAGACTGAGAACATACTTGGTTTTGCTGTGAACAATGAAAACCACTGTCAAGTTGCTGAGAAGACTGGGAGTGCTGAAAACTACTTTCAAGTTGCTGAGGAGACTAGATACTGTCTTCCTGACTTAGTTGCCCTTAATCAGGGCCTGGTTGTTTCATTAGCATTCAGTCCTCTCAACGCTGGTGTCTTAAAGCTGTCAGCAGATTCCTTAGGAGGTACATCTCATAGTGCCCCTTGACACCAATCCCTGGGGGTGAGGGAGCTGCTTTGCTCACTGCAGCAGTGGATGTTTGAGTTCAGCAGGGGTCCCAGAGTTGGGGCTATACTAGGACCTCGTGGACCATTTTTCCCACACAGCCTTCCCACTGGTGGCCCAGGTAGCAGCCAAGCTGATGGCAGATCCATCCCACCTGGTATTCAAACCCAGTTGCTGGACACTGTTCAAGTGCACTCACTCAGCTCTTTCCAGTCCCCAGCCCTCTGTAGGTGGGCCAGTTGTTCCCACTTATCTGTCTTCTGTGCTTGTTTTCTTCAGCTCCAGACTTCCTCTCTGGCTCCTGTGGTCTACCATTGCTTCACTGTGCCCCTGGAAACACTCTCCAGATAGGTTCCCCTAGCCAGAGATGGCTAGAGTTTTCTTTCCCCTGACTTGCCAAGAGTGTCTAGTAGTGAGATGTTTCTAGTCTGACATCTTGCTCTGCTTCTCTCTTTTTATATAAATTTTTGAATAGTATTGTCAATTTTCATAAAAAATCTGTTAGGGTTTGGGATTAGAATTGCCTTGAATATTCAGAATATTTTGGGAAGAACTGACATCTTAATAATACTGAGTATTCTAACTCATGCACGCTCTTCATTTATCTAGATCTTTTAAAAATTTCTCTCAAAAATGTTTTATAGTTTTTAGTGCAGAGGTCTTTTATATATTTTATTAGATTTATTCCTGAGTAGCTGATATTTTGTTGCAATTGTAAATAGTATTGTTTTAAAATTTCATTTGTTAACTTTTGTAGACTTTGTTTCCAATGGCCTATTTTATTTATTAATTCTATAATTTCTTTAGATTTTTTATAGGATTTTCTACATAACAAGTCATGTTTCCTACAAAATTGACAGTTTTACTTCTTCCTTTCAAAAGTTGATGCTTTATTTCTTTTTCTTGCCTTATTGTACTGGCCAAGATATCTAATATAGTGTTGAGTAAAGTTGTGGAAGTGGCTGGGTTGTGACCCTTTCATTGATTTTGTGACCTGTCAATTTTGAAAACACTAGCAGAGAGGGTGAGTTAGCTAGGACTGGACCAAAGGCAAGGGAATAATAAATAGGTTATGTCAATGTCACAAAAAGGAAATTGATAAGAACCTGAGTTATCTAGAGGCAGTGAGGATGAATAGAAGAGGGCATATTTTAAAAAATACATGAGATAAAATTTATTGAACTTAAGGCTCCTTTGACTATAGAGAAGGAAGACTCTATAATGCTTCCTAAATTCTGAGAAGTATTGCAGGGCTATTCGGCCATTAACTGAGACAAAGAACACACATTCAATAGCTCATTCATAAGGATTGCAGACAGAAAGAAGCCAACTTTGCATCTAGACTCCTTCCAGCTACCTAGACCATTGCCAGGATAAGGGCTTGAACAGCCCTGTTAAATATTCTCTGGTTACCTATCTTAAGGGTAGTTTTTACATAGGGACAAAAGTCTTTACAAGGGAATAGCATATAAGGCATATTCTGTTCCTTGATAGCTCTCTAACCTTATTTCTTACCACATTCCCACTTGATGATTCTACTCTGACATTACTAATCTTCTTGTTGTTTCTCAAAATTGCCAAGTACCTTATTGAGTAACAGTCTTTGTACTTTTCTTTTCCTTCTGCATGGAAAGCTTTGCCCCAAAACAATCACTAGCTCTTTGACCTTCTTTAAGACTCTTGTAAAAATATAACCTTATATGCAAAGCTTTCCTGATTACCATAATAAAATAGTTCTTCACTGCCTCTGGGCATTCCCTATCATCTTTTCTTTGCATTATTTATCTCCATAGCACTAATAACCACCTGATATGTGACATATTTATTTTTCTATTCCCAACTCCCCTTCCTACAATGTAAACTTTATGAAGTTGGGGACTTTGGTTACTTACTTTAACCCTGGTGTCCAGATTCGTGCCTACCATGTAATAAGCTTTCAATGAATATTTGTTGAATTGAATGCTGAATGCTTTGCTTTGGCCATCTCCTGCTGCCCTTTGATGGTCCCAGATCACTTTCCTTGAGCTAGTCAGGTGTGTTTGTCTGTCTCAAATTCCTAGTTGTTCTCAACTTTCTAGGATCTACCAGGGTTTCATATTTGCTGGAGGATCCTAATCTATTGGTCTCAGAATTTTTGGGAGGTCTTACTTCTGCTTTGGTGACTTTTAATTTTGGCATATATTTTAAAAATCACATAAAACTTAAAAGACTAGTACTAAGAATTCTCATATATATTTTATCTAAGTTAATTGCTCACATTTTGTCCTACTTGCTTTATTTTTTATTTTTAGAGATTAGGGTTTTGCTCTGTTGCTGAGATGGAGTGCAGTGGCATAATCATATAGCTCAAAGTAACTTCAAACTCCCGGGCTCAGGTGATCTACTTGCCTCAGCCTCCTAAGTAGTTAGGACTACAGGTGTGTACCACCATGTCCAGCTAATTTTTAAAAATATTTTTTAAGGAGACAGGGTCTTGCTATGTTGCCCATGCTGGTCTCAAACTCCTGGTTTCAGCAATTCTGCCATGTTGGCCTTCCAAAGTTCTGACATTACAGGTGTAGGCCATCATGCCTTGTCCCTATTTGCTTTATTATTAATAATCACCTTTATTTCATTCTATGAGAGTCAATTAGTTGTACATAAGACTCCACTTTACCCTAAGTAGTTCTGTGTGTATTTTCTACAAACAAGACTATTTTTCTATATAATAAAAGCAAAACAATCAAAATCAGGAAATTGAGAACTGACATATTATTATGTAATTTACATTCTATATCCAAATATTGCTAATTTTTCCATGATGTCACTTATAGCTATATTTTCTGAGTCTTGGATCTAATATAGGATTGGTGTATCACATCTAATTATCTATCTCAGACTGTTTTTATCCAGAGAAGTTCCTCATCTTTCCTTGTTTCTCATTACATATACATATCTGAAGAATATAGACCAGTTTATTTTATAAAATACTTATCAGTTTGGGTTTTCCAGGTATATATTATGATTATATCCAGGTTATGCATTTCTGAAAGGACTGTCACAGAAGTAAGGTTCTAGCCTTCACAGTGCCCTGTATGCTGAGGCAGGCACAGGTTTGTCTTGATATTAACAATGTTAAATTGACCATGTAGTAAAGGTGCTCTCTGTAAGATTTCTCTACTACAGATACTTTCCTCCCAAATTATTATTTGGTTCTTACCCTGGCATCAGGATTATCATCAAATTGTGTTCTCATAAATGTATCAAAAGAATCCCAGTAGTTTTCAGTTAAGTTTCCACCCAAAGACCATAAATAACAGAATAAAAAAGTCTGACATAGTACAGTGTTTAGTTTTGTTTGCTCCTGAAAGAATAAAGAGAAACAGTTTTAATATTTTACATATAAATTTAAGAATCCTAAATTGCAAAATTTAAAGACATTTTTCTTTCATTTAGACTCATATACTGTTAAACAGGCACAACATATGTTTCTTATACTTTATTCAATGTTTCACAAAGTGGTTTTTTCTTAGTTATGCATAATGAATGCTGATGAGAAAATCAGTGGAAAGGCTTTTGGAAGAAAAAAAGCCAAAGTTTGTCTTTCCACTGATTATTACAACTTTGTTTATGTCTGCATGAAGGCAATTAAGCAGATTGAGACTATGTTGTATTGGGACTATGTTGTAGACTATAAGGAAATTAAAAATTGAATAAAGGAATAAAATATAAGTTCTCCAACATTCTAACTTTGAGATTCTAGGAATCGAATCTAATTATAGTCACTAGTCCCATGAAAAATTAACTCGAATATAAAAGATCACATTTTAGAAAATTTAGAGTTACTTATTCTTAAAGAATCCATACAATAATCTCATTTTTCAATCTTCATAGCAGTAAGAAAACTCTATACCATTGTCAAGTTAACTCCATCTTTCCCAAGTATCAAGGATTCCAATAAACAACAAAGTGTAGTAATTTTGCTTATATCCACTTGTGGAATTGCCTCGCCACACTTTTTATGGATAAAATTTAAACCATCATCAACATAACGTTGGAAAAGATTCAATATATATTCTTGGGTTTCCTCATTCAGCTGAAAATAAAACAAACAAATGATATTTAAACGAGATCAGATGAAATGTGATTAATTTTAGAAAGAAGTTGGTTAAAATCCATATATTTCAATGTATACCAAAGAGTATAAACACAAAATATTAAACAAATTAAAAAAAATTTTTTTTGGACAGAGCCTTAAGCTGTTGCCCTGGTAGAGTGCTGTAGCATCATAGCTCACAGAAACCTTCAACTCTTGGGCTTAAGAGACTCTCTTGCCTCAGCCTCCAAAGTAGCTGGGACTACAGGCACCTGCCACCATGCCTGGCTATTTCTTTCTTTTCTTTCTTTTTTTTTTGTAGTCATCATTGTTGTTTTGGCAGGCCCAGGCTGGATTTGAACCTACCAGCTCTGGTATATGTGGCTGGCGCCCTAGCTGCTGAGCCTAAACAAATTAAACTTTAAGGAAACTTCCCATGACTGGGAAGGGACAGGAGATCACAGGTAATTTTTAATTCTCTACTTCTTGATAGAGAATACCAAGTACTCTGTACTCTTGATAATGAGTACAGAGGTGTTAGTTTAATAATTATTTTTAAACTCACAATATATACTTAATGCACTCTTTTATACTGATGATCCTTCACAATTGTGAACAAGAAAGAAGAAGAAACACACATGGCAACAGTTTTATATCTATGTAAGGTAAAAGGAATAATTTCCAAAGATGTAAAAATGAATTCAGCCCCTTTCATCACTCCTATGCAACTTAATATGGATGTTCTAGTTAATGGAACAAGACAATAAGAAGAAATTATTCCAAATTGCATTTAAAATTGTACTCCATAAATGCATTAATGTATACATGATCTATATGTTTGTGAATTAAAAAAAGAAGAAGAAATAAAAGGCATATGGATTGGGAAAGAAGAAGTAAAACTGTCTTTGTTCACAAACAACATATAGAAAATCCTCTCAAACTGACAAGACAAATCAAAACAAATCTGGAATAAAAATGCAGTTACACCAAGTTTGTAAGACACAAGGTTAAAATATACAAATCATTGCTTTTTTGTATACTGGCAATCAGCAATTAGAATTTAAAATGAAATATAATTTATATTATCACCAAAAAGGAAATAATCATAATTCTAACAAGTCTATTTTAGATTTATATAAAGGAAACAACAATACTATGATGAAAGAAACCAAAGAAGACCTAAATAAATGGAGAGATATACCATGTTCATAGACAGGAAGACTAAATATTGTTAAGATGTCAGGTCCTAAAATCACAACTATAGCCCAAGATTAAGGAGGGAAGAGGAAGAGGATGGGAGGGGAGGGGGGAAGTTTGATAGGGGAAGGGTAAACAAGGGTACCACACTTATGGAGCATATTGCAAGGGTACAAATCAAATCTATCAAGTACAGAAAATAAATGTCTTAACAGAATAATTAAGTAAGTGAGGTGAAAGCTATATTAATTATTTGGATGTAAGCATTCAAAATTGTATAAAATATCAACACATTGTATCCCATAAATGCATAAATGTATTCATGATCTATGTGTATATGTCTTAATAAAAAGAAAAAAACATATCAGGTCCTTCAGTTTCATCTATGAATTCAAAACAATCTCAATCAAACTCTGAGAAAGATACTTTATGGATTAATGGACAAACTAAAGTTTATATGGAAAAGTTAAATGACCCAGAATAGCCAGCCCATCATTGAAAAGAAAAAAGTAGGAGGGCTGACACTTCAAGACTTACTACAAAACTATAGTAATCCAGATGATGTGACATTGATGAAAGAACAGACAATAGGCCAATAGAACAGGCCTAAAGAACAGAATAAAGAACACAGAAATAGACTGATATAAATATAGTCCACTGATTTTTGACAAAGGAGCAAAGACAGTCCAATGGAGAAAGATGGTCTTTCAACAAATAGTGCTAGAATAACTGGATATTCACATGCAAAAAAACCTTAATCTAGACACTGACCTTATACCCTTCACAAAAATTAATTGAAAATGAATCATAGACTTAGAGGTAAAACACAAAATATAAAACTTTTAGAAGATAATGTATGAGAAGATCTAGATGACTTTAGGCTTACCAATAACTTTTTAGACATGACACTAAAGGCTCTATCCATGTAGGAAAGAAATGATAAGCAAAAGAATCGATAAGCTGGATTGCATTAAAATTATTAACTTCTCTGTGAAAGACACTGTTAAGAGAATAAAAGGCAGAATATTCAAACAACTTGAAGAGAAATCAGAGCCAGAGTAATGTTAAGAGAATGAAAATACAAGTCACAGACTGGGAGAAGATATTTGCAAAAGATAATCTGATAGAGGACTTATACCCCAAATACACAAAGAACTCTTAAAATTCAAAAATAAGAAAACAACCAAATTGAAACATGGGCCCACGATCTTCCTTAATAGGCAGCTCACCAAAGAAGATATACAGATGGTAAGCAACCATATGAAAAGATGCTCCAGCCATATGTTGTCAGGGAATTGCAAATTGAAATAACACACTACTATAAGTCTATTAAAATGGATAAAATCCAAAACACTGACAATGCCAAATGCTAGAAAGGATGTGAGCAATACGAAACAGGAGCTCTCATTCATTGTTGGTGGAAATACAAAATGGTACAGCCATGTTGGAAGATAAACTGACAGTGTCTTACAAAACTATACCTATACCATTTGATTCAGCATCCCATCTCCTAGGTGTTTACCCAAATGAGTTGAAAACTATGTTCATATGCAAACGTGCACACTAATGCTTACAGTAACTTTATTCATAATTGCCAAAAGCTGGAAGCAATTGAGATGTCTTTCAATAGGTAAATGGATACCTAAACTATGGTACATTCATACACTGGAATATTATTCAATGCTAGAAAGAAATAAGCTCTCATGTCATGTCATAAGCTACTGAAAGACACAGAGGCACCTTATATGATATTGTTAAGTGAATAAAAAAGCTAATCTGAAAAGGCTATGTACTTTAGGATTCTAACTGTATCACATTCTGGAAAAGGCAAAATGACAGGGACAGTAAAAACATCAAGGTTTGCCAGGGGTTAGGGGATGGAAAGGAGGGGATGGAACAGGTGGAGCTTAGAGGACTTTTAGAGTAACAAAACTATTTTTCATGATACTCTAATAATGGAAACATGACGTTATGTATTTTTCAAAACCCATAATTTATATAATACAAAGAGTGAACCCTAACATGAACTATGGACTTTAATTTATGAATATTAGTTCACCAATTTTAACAAAGGTATCACATCTACACAATTAATTATAAGGGAAACCGTGTTTGGGAGATAAGGAGTACATGAGAACTCTCATTTCTGTTCACTTTTTCTATAAACCTAAAATTGTTCTAAGTATAATAAATTCTGTTAACTTAGAAAGGCAGCAAACTTTAGGAAAGTTTAAAATGTTAAGGTAAACCCTTATAAATTTTCAATTCTGAGAATTATTGTCTTTAATAAGATACTCTGAGACTAAAGCACAATATTTATAAAACTTTGATGCATAAAAATAAGGAAAACAATAGTTTTCTAATTAATTTTTAGAAAGGAATAGGCAGAGAAATGGTTTCCTTGGAGTGGAGGATGGGCTATGGGGCTAGGAACACCTTGCAGGACCACTTGTCAAGCTAAGGTAAAGAGAAACATCCTATTTTAGAATAGAGGGGGAGTATAGAGAATAGCATGAAACTGACTTGTTCTGAGTCATAATGCATAATGTTTCCTTCACTTTGGGTAGAATTGTACCCCCAAGGTTAGAATGTGTCTTGGGTCTTACAAGTATAATTACTGATTTTCTTTTTTCGTTGGCTCTCAGAAGTGTTAGGGGCTCCTATAATCTAAAAATAACACAGTCAGTATCTGGATTTAAATTTGTTTTTGTTTGTTTTTTTCCATAGTGACTCCCTTTCATTACTCCCAAGCCTTCTGAAATATCTTCTTCAATGCCTTGGCCTATTCTAGCTGTGTTTTTAGGGACACAAGGAGTAGCTTGTGTTTGTACTTGAGAGGAGCCAGTCTGTGGAGAAGCCAGAGCAGGCAGGGGGCAGACTGGCAGTGGGGAGGTAACACATAATGAGGACAGATTAGAGCATATATAAACATTCCTGGAGGGTTCCAGAAAGTTTTAGGAGGAAAGACTAGGTTAAATGATGGGATTTCCTCAGTTAAGTACAGTGAGGCTTTATTTTTTTTGCTATTTGTGCACTCAAGGGCATGTGAGCCTGACAGATTCAAATATCAGGGAATATCTGGTTGCACTTACTTTTTTAGAAATTCCATTCATCCAAGTTTTAACATAAGGCATCCATTTCAGTTCTTCAGGATCCACGAACACCATTCCACATCGGCTGACTGTTGCAGGGGAGGCGACCTTTAGATCTTGCACCTAGAGTTGCAGAAAGTTGAACAGGAAACAGTAATGTGATACTTCCTTATGCCTCCAACTTCAATATTCACATTTTAAAAATGATTCATACTTTAAAGTTTAAGTTCATACTGAAAGGCTTTACGTAGAAGAGAGTAGGAGAACAGTAAGCAATTAGAAATGGAGAAGGAAAGTTAAGTGATGCATAAGGTGAAAAAAAAAGCCAGTGAGTATAGAAGGGTACTGTCAAATCCTGTGAGCAGGAATAGGTGATTTTTTTTCCTTTTCTTCTCTTTGCTTCTCTCTTCTCTCCCTTTCTTTTTTGTATTTGAATCCGTGGCCTAATACTTAGCACATCATAGAAATTCAGTCATCATTTGATGAATGAATAGAACAGGAGTGGTATTCCCTAGAATGTTTTATAGGTGTTCTGAGACTTTATCAAATATTCATAATTTATCCATATTAAATGTAACTTTTTTTAACTTAGAAAGTATTTTAAATTATGTAAAGTCACATACACACACATAGAGACACATCTCTCTCTAAGGGAAAACAAATATTGGGGAAGCCAGAATTTATTGTATTTCCTGTTTATAGAGACAGGAATATTTGAGAGACATTGATTGAAAGAATTAACCATGTTTTACAAAAGGATAAATTAATAAGTACTTAGTAAGCAAACATAACACCATGGTAGACATTATAGATAGCAAATGATACATCACCATGAGAAAAAAATTAGTGATAATATGCCAATTTAACAAATTATTTTACTTCATAGTAAGGTATACTCTTACCTCAAAAAGCATGTGAATTTGAGGTGTGAGTTTAATCCTCTCACTGTTAGCCAGGCAAAGCATCTTGTTATCATCCAACACTGTATTCATATTTTCAATCCAAAGAGCATCCACTGGCCCATCACTAATGATCCATTTATGGTCTTCTGAAGTATCATTCACAGCTGCTCGGACACTAAGTGCCATCAAACCATCTTTCCATTCCAAGGTTATGTTGTTAACTTCACCATATAACTCACCCATTGTAATTGACTTAGGGTTGAGAACATATGTTTTAACTGGTTGGTAAAAGGGATTGTCTACACCAAGTTTTCGTAAATCCCCTAAAGTTTCTGCTAGTATTTGGTAAACTGTGGTCTTGCCACCTCCTGTTGGCCCGACTAACATAACACCATGCCTTACCAGCATAGTCTCATATAACTGTATCACTTTTTTAACCATACATATCTCAGGCTGAAGATTTTGTCCATTCATGACATCCACAATTGTTGACTGCAAAATGCCATAATCATGTTCTGGAATTTGAACTCCAGGAAAAAGGTCAGATATGATTCCACTGATGAAACAAAAATAAAATCAATTAGTAACCCTTGGTCATTGATATTTTCCCATATTAGTTATAATTCATTGATTAAATATGAGTCTTATTTTTTCTAATAATCTCCTTTTCTTCTGAACATATATAATATTAGACTGTTCTTATGTGCTATACTGGCATCTATCATTTGTCTGATACTTTGTATGATATTATTTGGCTCCTGCATAGTAGACCAATGTTCTCAATAATATAAGGAGCTTCCTAGGGGCAAGAAATATCTCTTATGTATCTGTATTGCCCACAGTATATGGCATAGTACCAAACATATGGAAGATGATACATTTATAAATTTATCTTAAAATTATTTAAATCTCAAACTTTTCCTAAAAGCATTTATATATACCTATAACTATATGTGAATATTCAGGAAAACAAAATGGAAATACAAATAGAAATTAGTCGTAGCAAAAAGAGGAGTAGGGGAGAAGTTGACTGCTTCTATAAGAAACAGTTAATATAGAATATTTCCACGGACATAAAGAAGCTGAATTCTTACCTTGCATTATACACACAAATACATTTGAGATACAGTAAAGACTTTGCATAAATGACTCAGTGAGTAGGGCATTGGCCCCATATACCAAGGGTGATGAGTTTGAACCCGGCCCCTGCTAACCTGCAACAAAAAATAGCTGGGCATTGTGGCAGGCGCCTGTAGTCCCAGCTACTTGGGAGGCTGAAGCAAGAGAATGGGCTAAGCCCAAGAGCTGGAGGTTGCTGTGAGCTGTGACACCATAGCACTCTACTGAGGTTGACAAAGTGAGACTCTGTCTCCAAAAAAGAAAAAAAAAAAGGCAAAAGTACTAGATAAATATATAAAAAATGAATTTTGCAACATTGTGGTAAGAAGGTGTTTCTAAGAAAAAGAGGGAATCTAAAACTGTAAAAAAAAATGTTGATGGGGGGGCTGGGCACAGTGGCTCATGCTTGTAATCCTAGCACTCTGGGAGGCTGAGGTAGGTGGATTGCCCTGAGCTCATAGGTTCAAGACCAGCCTGAGCAAGAGTGAGACCCCCATCTCTAAAAATAGCTGGACGTTGTGGTAGGCGCCTGTAGTCTCAGGTAGTTGGGAGGCTGAGGCAAGAGAATCACTTGAGCCTAAGAGTTTGATGTTGCTGTGAGCTATGACAGTACAGCACTCTACCAAGGGTGAGAAAATGAAACTCTGTTTCAAAAAAAAAAAATGTTGATATGGTAAAAAACCCAAAAACAAACAGGCAAAAACAATTTTCCATGAAATCAAAGGCTTTATGCACAAATTTAAAGAATCAGTGAGAGACTTAGAGAAATTAAGTTCTTATAAATTAATAATTAAAAGAATAAAATAGATTATTCTAAGATGAATAAATATAAATAGTCACAGGGAGAATAGTAATGAGGTACTCTCAACCTCCTATCCAGAGTATTATCAGGAAAAGATGCTTAAGAATACTAACCATTAAAGAAAAGCAAATTAAAATGAGCTACCACATTTGGTCTCTCTTTAAAACATTTAAGGAGAACTAGGCCCCTTTACAAAACAATTTATAAATATAAAAGGGTAGAATATGTTTGGAGAACAACTTGATAGAATATTTAAAACAAAAATATGCAAATGATATGAGCCAGGAAACTTGCTTCTAGAAAATCTTCCTTGTAGAAATGTCACAAGTGTACAAAGATATATGTAGAGAAATGTTCACCATTGGAATAGAAAACAATTGAGAATTTATACAGCATGTCCATATATAGTATCTTTCACATCAAAGTAGTTTGATAGGTTTACTATGTCTCAAAGTACCAAGTTACATAACAGTAATCTAGCAGCAGTAAAGAAATTAGATTCATGCATATATACTAACATGAAAAAAAGATGTTCATGATATAGTACTAATTTAAAAAGTAACAGCTGCAAAAACAAATGCATTAAAGATAATTTTAAAAGTATTGACCAACTTCTCTTTCCAGTAAGATGGAGTAGACTTACTTCTCATTATTCCTCCCATTAAATACACCTAAAGCCCCTATACATTATGTGTAAAACAAATATAAAAGAATTCTTATATTTGGTGGAGAGAAGGCAGACTAGCTACGTACCCTCAGACCCAGGTGATGACATGGCGGTGAGTCTCTGGTTTCTTTTTACCTTTTACATTCTGGCAATCCAGAAATGCCAAAGGGCACAGAATAAAAGAAAAGGCCCATCAAAAACTTATTCTGTCTAACCAAAGAAACAGAAAAGGGGCAGCACAGTAAGACAGGAAACTTATAAGCAGTAACTTTTTTACTCCAACCAAACATCATAGAATAAAACCTGTGGTCTCTACTCCCACTCACACAAGCAGAGCCTAAGTGGAAAGCTTAGAATTCTGCCCTAGTCAGGTTTTAATGAATCTCCCTACTACCTCTTCTCATTCCTTGATGGTGTCAGAGAAGGCCAAGTAGAGATCCAGGACTGTCATCCCCACTGGAAAATAATGATGCCCTCTATGGTGTTAGCAGAGACTATATCAGAGGAGGTCTGGATTTCCAACTCCCACTCAGGAGTAATGAGACATCCCTCCCTCTCCCTGATGGTGTGTTGTCAGAGGAGACCAAGTAGAGAATCAGGATTTTTAATTTTTACCACTGCCTAGTGGTTGGAAGGCTGTCTTCCTCTGTGGTATCAGTGAAGGTAGCAGGGAGAATAGTAGAAAGGTACTCATATCTGGGATATTATTAGTGGAGGCCTAGTTGAGACCTGCAGCTCCCAGGTCTACACAGTAGTGATGAGGAGTCCCTCTCTGCCCCCATCAGGTATCAGTGCAGTTAGAGTCGGGAACCTGGACTTCTATCCCCACCTGATAGTAAAAAGGTTGCATTCCTAACTTCTCCTGTTCATGTAGCATCAGAAGAAGCCAGATAAAACAAGTTTAAATAAGATCCAATACATAAATAAGATCCAGAATCTTATAATCCCTAAAATAAGATTTCAATAAAAAATTATTCATTAGATAAAAAACCAGGAAGATCTCAAACTGAATCAAAGAAACCAATAAATGCCAAATCATAGAAGAAGCCCAAGTGCCCATTGACCCATGAATGGATCAATAAATTGTGGTTTATGTACACCATGGAATATTATGCAGCCTTAAAGAAAGATGGAGACTTTACCTCTTACATGTTTACATGGATGGAGCTGGAACATATTCTTCTTAGCAAAGTATCTCAAGAA